AATGATAACGAAGCTCCTTAGTGCAGACAATTTTTATTTCGCATGAAAATCCGCAGTCTGGTTACCAAAATTCAGGAATGAAAATAAATCTCGCTCTGTCAGGTAAATGATTTAAAACGAAGATGCACGCTAATCAACGTGACTGCGAAAGAAATCGTGGTGCAGGAGATCGGAGAAGCTGCAGCTAATCTGTCTCGAAAATTCGCAATGCTGTCTCCATGGAGCTGTGGAACCGGTCTAATTGAAAATAGCTTGCCGGTGGCATTTTCAGGATTATAGTCACAAATTAAACACGATGGGCGGCCGGCCGATGCAGAATAGAAGCGAAAGGGAGAAAGAGTGGAGAATCGAGCCGGGTCCACGGCAGACGTTAATGCGGAAAGCGTGTCTGTCGCGGGCCGGTTTGATCTGTCCTTTCCGAGGCGCATTGAAAAGGCGGTCGTAATGCCGTCTAACGCGGCGAGGATCGTGGATGTCGTAAAAGTAATGTACTCACCGGCCATTCCGTGGACCGACGTTCGTCACATACGAGGAGGACGCTGTAATGGCTGAATCCGGTATGCCACCGGACTCCATCCCCAAGGATTGGTTGCACGATTCTGAAATATGCCATTTAACTTTATTACGGCCGTTTGAGACAATCGCAATTACTCTATTTGGCTAGATTCGTCGATTTGGCTGGTCCGTCTCACCGGGAAATCGGCGGAGACAATAAATGGACTGCCGAGTCGTCGAATGTGCAATGAATCCGTGATTATTAGAGTCAGTTATTTTGTGCATTTCTGACAAAAGTTGATGAAAAAGATATTACAACAATATAAGAACGTAATAATATAATATAATATTACATAATAATATATATATATATATATATATATATATATATATATATTATAGATAATATATATAATAATATATATATATATTATTATAGATAATATATATAATAATAATATAATATTACAACAATTTAAGAACGTTGTTACGTTATTTTCAATTGATTGTAAAGAAGAACTATTAAAAAAAGGAACAGATATTTATGTGTTTAGAATTGTTGCAGATAATTTTTATTTCGCGTTAAGGTACGCTGATTGGTGATTATGGACGAGAAAATATTCCGAAGCGTCCAATATGCTTCTAAAGTCGCTTCAGAACGTCCATTTGCCATTTTCGAAAATATTGAAAGAAGCAAATGGTAACGCTTTTAGTGAAAAGCAAATGGTGACGCTTTTGTTTCGATTAAAGTAACATCTGTGACGTTTGTTTTTCTGATTCATTTAGTATTCGACTATGGATCTTTATGCCAAAGAGACAGTCGTAATAAACAGAGGACACATTTTCGTCTATAAAAGAACGTAGTTACATGGACAATTTGGGAAGAGGAGATACGATTATTCGAGCATTGCGGCTCATTTTTGTAGTTGTCGATTGCCAATAATTATAAAAACGAGATGGAAGGCTCGAATAATCGCATTTCCTTTCCTCCTATTTTTGTTTACAAGCTGCAGGGAAATTAGAGAGAAATTAAAGTACGTGGTAGATACTGTCGAATCGTGACACGTGGCCTCCGAATTGCCTTCGAATCGTGTCATGTGGCCTCCGAATTGCCTTCGAATCGTGGCAGTGGCCTCCGAATTGCGTTCAAAATGTGGCAAAAAATTAGATATAAAAGAGTTAAGTTGTTTTTATTCTAGCATTACTATGTATTCATATTAATGTACATTCTGGCATTAATTTTGGCCGCTGTCTCTTTCTGCTGACTGCCTCGAGATTCTATAAAAACGATCCTCGATGCCCGAAGAATCGCGATTTAGTATTTTCAGATCTGTCGGTTTCAAATTCCTCCTCCCAACCTCCCAAAACATTTTTGGGAGAAACTATCTTTCTGAATCGAATGCATTCGGATCGCGTTGTCTAACGAAGGATTCTTTCCGATACCGTTTTTTGTTTATCTGGTGTTATATATTGATCTTGATAATTTAATAAATATAATAATAAATATAATATAATATTTGTAAAATGACGTAATGAGCACATCAAAGAATTGTATTCGCGAAATATGTGAAAAAAATTCAATGGGAGAATAAGTTGATGAAAAATAACTGTTGCGAATATTCTTTGGAAGTCCACGTATTCAGCGGTGACGAAAAAGGATTTGTATAAATTGTGGAACATGTTTCTGTCGGAAAGGTTCGTTTCGGAATAAAAGCCCGCGGAAATACAGCACATGAAATATTCCCATCCTTCATAATTCTCGATTTTATGGAATTGTTGGAAAATATTAATTGAAAGGATGATGTTACGAGAAGTTTCGAAAAACGAATAGCGTCGCTTAAAGTTTCATGGAAAAATCCGATGTTTCATGCGCAGTAGTTCGCATGCCGGTTTTAAACATTCGAGGTGCGTACAGTTTTCTAAAATTCATTTTCCAAATAATTTCTTACGAAATTTTGGAAAAATCCTTTCAACCATTTTTCACATTTTGCACAGTGCAACACAGTGCACCTTGACTACGTACCGATTTTGATTTGAAAAACGTATCGAAGTATCGTAGAATGTCATACCTTTTAAGAAAGAATTTTGAAAAAGCAGATTTCAAGAAAAATTCACTTTCAATTATTTGATGCTTCATCGATCGATATAAAATACGAGATAGGTTTCTCTATTTCGAGATAGGTTTTTCTATTTTTTAGCAAATATTTTTTAGCAAATTTTCTATTTTTTAGCAATAGTTTTTCCATTTTTTCTCTATTTTTTCTATCTTGTAGCAATTGATATAATCGATTTCTTGCTTCAGAAAATTCAGAATTGCAAACGTAAAGAAAAAAATCTGTTCGCTAACCGTCACGATTACCACTCATAAAGTTCGGTTACCCCATATACCATCCTATCGTCGCACTTATTAGTCTAGCAGTTGACTAATTCGCGCGTTCCAATTTGCTTCAAGTTCGTCGCCGCTCTAGCGTAATCTTTCCATTAAAGTTTCCGCCGGACAATAAAAATCCACGTGCCACTACTAAGAGCAGGGAGGGTCGGCCGTGATCCATCCACCGCGCTGGATGAATCGGTGTGAATAAATTTACATTATCGAGATGAGGATGATCGACGATCCGATTGCTTCTTACGGAGGACGCGTTTTCAATCGGCTGCGGATTAAGCGCGAAACCTTTTGTCGGTGGATGATGAACGTATTTATCGTCGTATTACAGGCTTTATGTGCTTGGCGCGTTCCATTTGGAATTGAAAGTGTCCGATCACTGGATTATGCTCGAAATTACTTAATCACCGGCGCTCTGAAGAATATAGATAGTCTAGACAATATACTTTATTCATTTTCTTCAATACTTGACGCGAACTTAACACTTAATATTTAAATGGAACATTAAAAACATAATTTTGACTATTTCTTTAATACAATTTACATTGATTGCAAGACACAGTAGCAGTAAATATAGATATCTTTCTTTTTTTAACGATTTGAGTAAGTTGAATCCAACGCACGAATATTCTTAAATTCGGAAATATTTTATTCCAAATCATTTTAATAGGTTTAACTTGCTTACGATTCTTAAAATTAGCCTAATTGGTCGCTGCTTTAAATTGCACTTGCACATTTTCATCGAACATGCAAGAAATCTTTATTCATCTTTAAGAGCAATTTTGATTGCGAAAGTGTACTAAGAAGTGTGCAAATTACCGTATTTTATTTCTTAGCGTGCGATTACAGAATCAGCCTATTTAAAATTAGCCTATTTAGTCACTGCTTTAAATCGCACTTGCACATTTTCATCGAACATGCAAGAAATCTTTATTCATCTTTAAGAACAATTTTGATTGCGAAAGTATACTAAGAAGTGTGCAAGTTACCGTATTTTATTTCTTAGCGTGCGATTACAGAATCAGAAGTGAACGTGTTTCTGCTGTAAATTTCGTCGATCGTTAACAACAATTTGGAAACGGGGGGAGATCGATCGGTCCGGGTCGCGTATTTATTGGCTTCGGCAGCCATACGATCGTGCGCTCGCTTCCGGTCGATTAAATCGTTCCCCTCTTTTCTCTTTCATCAGCCCTCTTAGGGAAATCCTTTTGAGTAAGCCGTCGCAGCAGGTTAAATCGAGCCAACGGCCTTCCTTTTCACGGAAATAAACCAAAGAATCCTGGTAATAAACATTACGTTCGTCGTCGTCGTAGTCGTCGTCGTCGTCCCCGTCCCAAGAGTGGCCTCGTTTGGGAATCCTTCGACAGGAACCACCATTTCAAAAGCCATTCGCAGGTTGTTACGAAGACATTCATGGGAAATCTCGATCGCGCTTCTTATAACGACTGCCGGAATAGTATTCCCCCTGTTTTTAGAGCACAGTAAATGCGCTGCCGATCTCGCCCGAAGCTGTCCTCCTTCTAAGAGAATCGCAATTAACGCGGACATTACTTTTACCGGCGATTTAATTATTCCGCAGACAATCTTTAAATATGTTTAACGATACCCGTGCAAAAATTCCACTCATTCTTTCGGAGCGTGAATATTCAATGTATCATCACAGTATTAGGTCTACCGGAAAGTTCTGTTCGATAGTGTCACTTCGAGTTTCAATCCATATGCACGCTGTATCCGAGACTGCAATTATTTGAGATACTAGTCAATTTCCAAATCCGCCAATTATAAAAGCTATAACTATGACAAAAATTATAATAAATGCATGAGAGGTAACAACAGGATTATAAATTTATTCATTGTAAATTCATCCTCTTGGAGCTCTCAGTTCTATTCGAATAATCATACTTAGCGAGGCACCTAGAGTACCGGATCATAATGCAAAGATAAAATATAATATACCAATATTTTTATGGTTCGTTGAATAATATATTAGGTCTACCGGAAAGTTCTGTCCGATAGCGTCACTTCGAGTTTCAATCCATATGCACATGTTGATTTGAGACATATATGACTCTCTCTTTATCATTGCATTTACACGCATGTACTCTCCTAAATAAACTGAAACGAAGATGTCTCGTGTCATTATTAAGCGATACGCGATCGTGAAAACATGGCTACCGATGATAATGCCAGACCACATGCTGCTTTGGCGACTCGTCAGAAAATCGCAGAGCTAGGCTGGGAAATTCTGTCGCATCCACCGTACTCCCCGGACCTAGCACCCTCCGATTATCACTTGTTTCTCTCTTTGCAAAACTTTTTACAGGAAAACAAATTCAAAACCGAAGCTGATGTCAAGCAAGCACTAGTCGAGTTCTTCGCCTCTAAAAATAAATTATTTAAAAAAAATGACATTTACAAGTTGCCATCACGCTGGCAAGAAGTCATAAGCAACGATGGAAAGTATATTCTACAGTAAATATTATTAAATGTATGAAGATTGTGTTATATTTCAACTCAAAAATGGACAGAACTTTCCGGTAGACCTAATAAATACTCCATCATTTTTCTTCAGCTTGTAAACAAAAATGAAAAATTTTGAGAGAGGAGATACGATCGCGGCTCAATTTTAGAGTTACCGATTGTCAACAATTATAAAAACGAGGCACAGAATAATCGAATAATCGTGTCTTCTGTTCCCAAATTGTTCATTTTTGTTTACAA